TACCAAACTCAAGACACACCAGAACAAAGGGAATCCCACATATTAGTTTATATTTAGAATAGGAAAAAAGGTTTCCCAGAAAATCAGCAAGATAGGCTTTTCTCAAGCTAATTAGGCTAGGGAGCCCCTTGAGGCCAAGGACTGAATCTCAGTTGTTTGATATCCTCTGTAGGATATGAAGTTCCTAGAGTAGGAGACCTGTGATAAGGCAACATCTCTAGCTCTGTCTGCCAACTCTCTACTCCTCCCCCAAGGAGTGGGTTAGTCTGGGGTAGCTTTTCAGCCCAGAGTTCAAGGAGACATTCCACTGACAACCTCTCCCTCAGCACTGATCAATGCATTGACAATGGCCCTCAGCATTGGTCTCACTCTGCCCATAGGAGCCTGACTTTGACGACAAACTGGGTAGAACAGTGTACAAAGCAACAGGGCATAGGTGATAATACACCATCTTTGGAGTCAGAACACCTGGGACTAAATCCTGACACATCTACCTACCATTTATGTGACCTTCGGCAAGTGACTTAACTTTTCCCCATCTGTAAAACGGAAATAATAATAGACATTCCCCTCCCCAAATGTTGTGAAGATTGAGATAATGTATATAAAGAGATGACCTTGTTCCTAGCATTTAATAAGCATGCAAATGTGAGCTATTCTAGGTCTGTCTCACTATCTTAACCGTTCACTCTCTGCACCCAGGAGAGAAATCTTACAGATTTGGATAAATTTCTGGTCAAATCCCTCACTATCCAAACTATTGATACTTGTCACCTGAGACTCAAAAACTAAAGCGATTTGGATAACTTGGTATCCCTTATGATCTTAAATCTTGCTATCGGAACCCAGAAACCAAAACAGATTTGGGTAGAGAGGGATACCTTCATTACTCCAATAGAATTGATCATTCTTTCAAACCACCAATGTTCATTGAGTATCCTATAATAACGAACCAAGGCAAATAATCTTCAGTCATGCTTGCATATTGTCTGGCTTCAGGGCACATTCTTAATTTTTAATGAGTTTAGAATAACTCAACTAAAAAAACCTAACTGGAGATTCGAAATGATCATCTTTTAAGTAACAAAACTAACTCTCAGAGCCTCCAAGTGGGTGTCTCTGTCTGGATATAATCTATCTTATAACAGTTGTGAAGACAACCTTTCCAGAACAGTGTGCCAGGCCTATTGTGCTGTAATCAATCAGCAGGCATCTAAGCCTATCTGGTTCTTCCAAGCATTAACATAATAAACCGGTTTTCCATTCAACTAGGTGTTGCTCTTTAAATCAAATCAATCATAAGGATAACCCGAAAAGGTCCTAGGGATAGAAGTAAGACTAGAAACCAAATTAATCTCAGGAGCAAACAAATTCCAGAAAGACAAGAAAGGGAAAATAACTCACATTAGAAATTCTTTATTTATACAAGGGTTTTGTTCTCAGCACTGTTCTAGACTAAGATCCAAAAGTCATCTCAAGAATCTATGGAGTGGGCCGGCCCCGTGGCTTAGCGGTTAAGTGCGTGCGCTCCGCTGCCGGCGGCCCGGGTTCGGATCCCGGGTGCGCACCGAGGCACCACTCCTCCAGCCATGCTGAGGCCGCGTCCCACATACAACAACTAGAAGGATGTGCAGCTATGACAGACAACTATGTACTGGGGCTTTGGGGGAAAAATAAATAAATAAAATCTTTAAAAAAAAAAGAATCTATGGAGTGAGAATTTGAATTTATTAAAGAGAAAACGAGAAAGGACTATTGGTTTTGGTGGCAGGGCTCTGTTGCCTTAGCAACAAGTCCAGAGGCTTAATAAATAAGGAACTTAGTAAGGGAAGAATTTTTGCTCCCAGAGCAATAAAGAAGGTAATGGGTACCAACCTTCTTTTATTAGAAAGTGGCTTCTCCTTGTGAATCGTTGTGAAAGGAGCAAGTTGACACAGTCGCAGCTCCCTCTGCCCCCACTGTGCCCAGGAGGTTTGGCGCAGGGACCCCCTAACAAGCCTTACAGCAGCTTGCATCAACATGGCAGAACACCCTGGAACTAATGATTACCACCACCTAACAGGAAACACAGAGATGTGGTGTCAGATGGGAAAGACAGTATACATACACCCGACTAGCACTCCTACTCTATGGGTTCGCTGGGGGAATGGGGTGGATGCACAACCTTTTAGTGCCCCATTTTATATAAGACCCTCCTAACTGACAGCAACTCGGTAACACTCACTGTGCTGCAACTGTAACTGACAATGTTCTCAGTCCTGGCTATGGTAAAAAGGTACATATATTCCCAGTCAAAAGTCAATAATAGCCAGTCAATCAATAGTTTACAGGTAGAAATGATCACAACATTCTAGAAAATGGGAGATAGGACATAGGCAGTTTTTCTGAAGCCCCTGACACGTGGTTTCTCTCTTGGAGATGAAATACCTGGTCACAAAGATGGCAACGGAAGCATATAAAACGTCATTATCAACTGCAAACTCTAGATGAAGCTAAAAGCAAGCCAAACAAAAGCACCTCTGAGTCAAAGATAAGACTTGTTTAGAGCTCCAGGAACAAGCAGGAAAGGAAAATTTCAGGAAGTGTCTTAGACCAAATTATGCTGATACATTAATACTGGAAGGGAACAGAATTACAGGGATCATATTCTTTACTGCATTCAAATGAACTTGGCCTTTCATTTGGAAATGAGTCACCTGGCAGGCATCCCCTCTGTTTTTAACTTGAAGAAAATAACGGGCATAAAAAGGTGCTCACTAAAGATTCAGACCAAGGAAGTTCCAAGAACAATTAAGAAATACAATCATGTGCCGCTTAACGACGGGGATACATTGGGAGAAATGCATCCTTAGGTGATTTCGTCATTGTGTGAACATGATAAAGTGTACTTACACAAACCCAGATGGTATAGCCTACTACACACCTGGGCTTTTCTTATGGGAAGACCATCATAGATGCAGTTCGTCATTGACCAAAACGTTAAGTAGTGCATAACTGTAGAAGGAAATGTTTATCATAAAAAAATTATTTTAGGGGCTGGCCCAGTGGCATAGCAGTTAAGTTCGCGTGCTCTGCTTTGGTGGACTGGGGTTTGCAGGTTCGGATCCCAGGCGCAGACCTACGCACCACGTATCAAGCCATGCCGTGGCAGGCATCCCACATATAAAGTAGAGGAAGATGGGCATGGACATTAGCCCAGGGCCAATCTTCCTCAGCAAAAGAGGAGGATTGGCAAGGGATGTTAGCTCAGGGCTAATCTTCCTCAGCAGGAAAAAAAAAAAATTTTAGCCCATGGTCACCAGACGAATATACATCAATGGCAGATTCTTTTAGACAACATGATGATGAGGTATGGTGCAGTCAGTATAAAGAGCATGGGCTGTGGAGTTATGGACTTGATTTTAGATCTCTGCTCAAGACTGTTGGATCAGTGATAGACCACACTTTAGGTATGCACATTTCAGCATTTAATCACCCAGAGCCTCAGCTTATTAAATTGAAAAACTGGCATTAACACTTCCCTTGCAAGGTTATTATTGAGATTAGACAAAGTCTGTACAGTTCTAGCATAGGGCCTGATACATAAAAGCTGCTTTAACAACTTCTTGCTGTAATTAATCTAAGAAAAGTAAAAAAAAAGGATTTGGCCAGTTTCCTCAATTTACCTTAAAATCCCGCTCTCAACTGGAGGCCTTGCTTCTGTGATATACAACCCTAAAATTCAATTACTGATGTAACAGATCAAAGTCCAGTCAATTTTCCCAAAGGCAGAAGCCCAAGACCAGGTTCCAAATATTTATAGAGATCCATCAGACACTCTCAGAAGGACCACATATTAGGATGCTATGAAACCACAATTTTAGGTTATTTCTTTTCTCATTTTTCTAGGAAATTTGAAGCATAAACCCAGAGACACAGAAGGAAACATCAATTCTTACTCATTAAGTGCAGTTCCATCAGGGTTCAGCAAGAGAAGTGAGCCCTCATGCACTAAAGCAGGCTTACATGTAATGAAGTAACATCTCTCCTATGCCTATCAAATGGCACTATCTATTTACCATCTTTGGGAGTATTGAGAAAACAATCACTGACTATGTTCTGTGAAGAACCCGGGTTGAGAGGAAGTGTAGCATTTAGACAATATAACACGTAGTCAAAGAGTGGCTAATCTTCGTTTATTTAAATTTACCTTCATACTCCAAGGATTTGGGGTGATTAACAAAGATATATCCAGGAGTATAGGTGCAGCTTGGTGTACTCGGCTGAATAAGGCGGTCCCTACTGCTAGACACTGGTCATTCACTCAATACTCAAAGATCCTTTGAATAACCCATATGGATAGGTGCACGATACCGTTTTAGAACTACTCCCTTTAATACATAAGTTCAGAATGGCTCTGGTGAGGCCAAGGAAACTTTGAAGGTCTTTCCGAACACCGGGGGTATTTAATATTTCTTCAACCTCCTCATCGGGGCGTGGCTCAGTAATAAAAGAACGCATTTCCCACAGGGGAAAGGGAAAGAGTAAGTTTCTCTTTTTTGTCACCTCTCAGTCCTCCGCATTCTCTTACTCCAGGAGTACGACAGCAGGGACCCCGCCGGCCCCGGGGCATCCTGGGGAATGTAGTTTCCGGGAATAGCGGCCACGTCCCGGCGTGTCCGTAGCCACGAGAACCGATAGGAAGGCCCTAGGCACAGCTGCCTCGGCCGGAGCCTCGAGGCGATTCCTAGCCCGGACTCTCCGGTCGCAAAGGTCTTAATTACCAGCAGCGACACTTACTTTTTGCTCAATTTCGGCTCGCCACCGTCCACTTTCACCTCAGCAGCCTGCACCGCTGCCATCTTCCCCGAATGCCCGGCCTGAAAGGGATGAGGGCCGCCCCTCAACTTCCAGGTCAGGGTCGGCAGCCCCGCCTCTTCCGGGGCGAGGGGCTGGGAACTCTTCGTGCCCTGACGCCGCGCAGGCGCACTGCGAAACCTCAGGGCCGCCGCGTCGGGCGCGCTCGCAGTGTTAGTGTTGTGTTGTGTGCGCCACACGCTCCTTAGGGGGCGGCTCTTTTGGTGCTCGCGTCAGCTATGGCGGAGGCTATGGATTTGGGCAAAGACCCCAACGGGCCCACCCATTCCTCGACTCTGTTCGTGAGGGAGGACGGCAGCTCCATGTCCTTCTACGTGCGTCCCAGCCCGGCGAAGCGCCGGCTCTCGACGCTCATCCTGCACGGCGGCGGCACCCTGTGCCGGGTGCAGGAGCCCGGGGCCGTGCTGCTGGCCCAGCCCGGGGAGGCGCTGGCCGAGGCCTCGGGCGACTTCATCTCCACGCAGTACATCCTGGACTGCGTGGAGCGCAACGAGAGGCTCGAGCTGGAGCCCTACCGGCTGGGCCCAGCCCCTGCGGCCGACCAAGCTCCAGAGACGAAGCCCGGGGCCGAGGGCGCCGCCCCCGGCCCGGAGCCCGAGCCGCAGCCGCACACGGGCCGGATCGTGTTCACGGACTCGGACGACTTGGCCATCTTGACATACGTGAAGGAAAACGCCCGCTCGCCCAGCTCCGTCACCGGCAACGCGCTGTGGAAAGCGCTGGAGAAGAGCGCGCTCACCCAGCACTCGTGGCAGTCCCTGAAGGACCGCTACCTCAAGCGCCTGCGGGGCCAGGAGCATAAGTACCTGCTGGGGGACGCCCCCGTGAGCCCCTCCTCCCAGAAACTCAAGCGGAAGGCCGAGCAAGACCCCGAGGCCGCCGACAGCGGGGGTGAGGCTGCTGCTGCGGCCGCGGGGGCCCTCCGCCGACACCTGTGGTGGGGCGGGGGCTCCTCCCCTCTTTCTGTCAGACGTCCATTTTGGCATCTTTGGTAGCATCGCCCGGCCCCTCCCCCCCGACATCCGGGAAAAATTGCACCATTTTCTAATTTCTTTTCAAGTGTAGTTTACGTTTCCAATACCTGGGATATTGACATGGTTCGATATTCAAAAGGTACAAAAAGAGTGTATACAAAATTCCCCTTTCCTGCTCACCTGGTTTTCTTCTCCAGAGGCACCGTGTTAACCAGCTTCTTGTGTATATTTTCAGAGAGATTTCAGATTCCTTTTTAAAAAAAATATTTCTTCTGTGTTCAGGCAGATTCAGTATAAACCGTTTTAAAGGCGTGCCAGACCAGTTCAGTTGCATGTTTTGGCTTAACTGAATGCGTATTCACGTGAGAAGGTTCTCGTTCATTGGAAGTCTCTTCCAGGTCTTGTTCAGGGAAAGGGAATTTTGAACGCAGTTGAATTGAATGTTGGGATTCAGGTGTGGTTTAGGACAGGGCGCAAAGCTGTTAAGATGCTTTAATTTTGATCTAACGGGTATAGACGGCTTAACCTATGGAGCCTTTGTTTAAAGAGGTGTGCCCTCCCCGCCCTTCTATTTTCTTTCCTTATGTGGCCATTCCATGTAACAGTTGAAGTCTGGGGAGGTAAATCTATTTCTCCTGTTCGGTATGCTTAGTAGGAATGTTGTTTTTGGTAAAAGTGACATTTCAGATTCATTCGTTCAACAGATATTTGAGTGCCAGACACTGTTATCCTGCTGGGCTATAACAATAAATAAAAGTCCCTGTGGTCATGGAGCTTAACATGCTAGCTGGGCAGTGGTAAGTGCTATAGAGAAAAATAAATCAGGGTAAGGGCTGGGGAGCAGGTTGTTTTCTACAGGGTGATAAGGGAAGGTCACTACATAAGCTGATGTTTGAGCAGAGACTAAAGGAAATGAAAGAGCCAGCCAGGTGGTTGGTTATCTGAGGAAGTGTTCCAGGAAGAGGGAATATTAAGTGCAAAGGCCCTGAAGTGGGAATATGGCTGGTGTTCTTGGAGCAACAAAGAGACCAGTGTGGCTGGAATGGAGTAAGCAAGAGGGAGAATTTTAGGAGAGAGGACAGGGTTGTGTGGATGGGTAAGGTAGATCATGTAGGGCCTTGCGTTTAAATCAGTAGTGTTGGAACTACTGGCAAGCCATTTGGAACTTGAGACAAAATTAAGCTGGATTCACCCTACTCCAAGTAATGTTTTGATGATCAGGTATTTAAATGTAAAATTTAAAATTCTAAAATGACTAAGGGAAAACATGGATGAGTATACTTTTTAATACAGTCATGTGCCACATAACCATATTTTAGTCAACAACGGACTGTGTATATGATGGTGGTCCCAGAAGATTAGTACCGTATAGCCCAGGTGTGTAGTAGGCTGTACCATCCAGGTTTGTCTGAGTACACTCTGTGATGTTTGAACCACCACGAAATCACCGAACAATGCATTTCTCAGAGTGTATACCTGTCCTTATGCATGACTGTGTTAATTAGCATGGTGATAGTCCTGAAACCAAGAAGACTAAGAAAAAGCCTTATATATTTAATTACTTAAAATTAAAAACTTCTCATGATAGATAAAGTCAGGGCAAACTAGAAGAATATTCCCAATACATTGCAGAGTTAGTTTCCTTAATGGCCAAAGAGGGTGCAGAAGTTAGTAAGTAAAAGAAAAAGTAGTAGAAAAATGAGCAAAGGAGGGCCGGCCCCGTGGCTTAGCGGTTAAGTGCGCGTGCTCCACTACTGGCAGCCCGGGTTCGGCTCCCGTGCGGTCACCGACGCACTGCTTCTCTGGCCATGCCGAGGCCGCATCCCACATACAGCGACTAGAAGGATGTGCAACTATGACATACAACTATCTACTGGGGCTTTGGGGAAAAACAAAAAAAAAAAAGGAGGAGGATTGGCAATAGATGTTAGCTCAGAGCCGGTCTTCCTCAGCAAAAAGAGGAAGATTAGCATGGATGTTAGCTCAGGGCTGATCTTCCTCACACACACAAAAAAAATGAGCAAAGGAAATGGAACAAGAAATTTCCAGAAAAGGAAATAAATAAATGGCCAATAAAGAAATGCAGAAATATTGTGGTTACATAAGAGTAAATTAGACCTTGAGCAGAGGACAAGTATAAGCCTTGCCTGGACTTCTGACCTGTGGAAACTGTGAAATAATAAAGTGTATGTGGTGGTGTATTTTAGAAAAGTAAATCAGAGCAAGGAAATGTCATGTTTTATCTATCAGATTGGCAAAAATGAACAGAATGGGTGATAGTGAGGTATATGAAACACGGGTATACTCCTACATTATTTTTTATTTTTATTTTTTTTAAATATTTTATTTATTTTATTTTTTCCCCCCAAAGCCCCAGTAGATAGTTGTATGTCATAGCTGCACATCCTTCTAGTTGCTGTATGTGGGACTCGGCCTCAGGATGGATGGAGAAGTGGTGCCTCGATGCGCACCCGGGATCCGAACCCGGGCCACCAGCATTGCAGCGCGCGCACTTAACCACCAAGCCACAGGGCCGGCCTCCTACATTATTAATAGAAGAAAATTGGTACGGTTTCTTTGGAGGGCATTTTGACAACATCTAACAACATTTAAAATGCATCTCCTCTTAAACATGGCTATGTTGTTTCTAGGAATTTATTCTACAGATATACCCAGACTACAAAAGGGTACATAGTAAAAACGAGGTCTCCTTGCTACATACCCCTTCCCCTGGTTCCTCTTCCAGAGGCAGCTTCTGTTATTGTCCCTTCTCTGTGTCCTTTTTGCTCATAGTAAAATTAGCAAACTAGATATCAGTTTGTTCTGCAGTTTGCTTTTTATTTTTTTTGAGGAAGATTGGCCCTGCACTAACATCTGTTGCCAATCTTCCTCTTTTTTTCTTTTTTCTCCCCAAAGCCCCAGTACATAGTTGTGTATCATAGTTGTAGAGTTGTAGCTCTTCTCTGTGGGACACGGCCTCAGCATGGCTTGATGAGCGGTGAGTAGGTCCGCCCCCAGGATCCGAACCAGCAAATCCCGGGGCCTGGAAGGGGAATTCGAGAACTTAACCGCTGCGCTGACGGCTGGCCCCTCCAAGTACATTTTCTTTCTTTTTTTTTTGTGTGAGGAAGATCAGCCCTGAGCCAACATCCATGCCAATCCTCCTCTTTTTGCTGAGGAAGACTGGCCCTGGGCTAACACCTGTGCCCATCTTCCTCCACTTTATGTGGGACGCCGCCACAGCATGGCCTGACAGGTGGTGCCTTGGTGCACGCCCAGAATCCGAACCCGGGCCACCAGCAGCGGAGCGCGTGCGCCTAACCGCTACGCCATGGGGCCAGCCCCTGCTTTTTTTTTTAAACTTAATAGATCTTCAAGTCCGTGTGTGTCTGCGCATTGCTTGCCTCATTCTTTTCTCATTGATTGCATTGTGTTCCATTATGTGAATGAACCATATTTGTTTACTTTTTATTATAGAAAATTTCGAACATTTACAAAAGGAGAGAGAAAAGTATAATGAACTGTACTGCTTGTACCCGTCACCCAACTTCACCTGATTATAGTTCATGGCCAATTTTTTCATCTATACCTTTCATCCTGACTTCTGGGATTATTTTGAAGCAAATGCCAGGCATCATACTATTTTATCTATTTCAACATGTATCTAAAAGATAAGGCTTCTTTTTTTAATTACTATTTAAAAAATTTATATAAAATAAAATTGACTTATTTTGGTGTACATTTATTTATTTATTTTTTTGTGAGGAAGATCAGCCCTTAGCTAACATCTGATGCCAATCCTCCTCTTTTTTCTGAGGAAGATTGGCCCTGAGCTAACATCCGTGCCCCTCTTCCTCTACTTTATATGGGACGCCACCACAGCATGGCTCGAAAAGTAGTGCGTTGGTGCGCGCCTGGGATCCGAACCGGTGAACCCTGGGCTGCCGCAGTGGCGCGCGTGCACTTAACTGCTTGTGCCACTGGGCCGGCCCCCATGTGTGTTTTTTAAAATTTATTTTTTTTATTGTAAAATATACATTACATAAAATTTGCCATTTTAACTGTTTCGGTTCGTTGGCATAAAGTACATTCACATTGTCACGCAACCGTCACCACCATCCATCTCCAGAACTTTTTCATCTTCCAAACTGAAACTCTCGGGGCTGGCCCGGTGGCGCAAGTGGTTAAGTGCTCGTGCACTCCGCTGTGGCAGCCTGGGGTTCGCCGGTTCACATCCCGGGCGCGCACTGAAGCACTGCTTGGCAAGCCACGCTGTGGCGGCCTCCCATATAAAGTGGAGGAAGATGTGCATGTATGTGAGCCCAGGGCCAGTCTTCTTCAGCAAAAAAAGAGGAGGATTGGCAGATGTTAGCACAGGGAAGATCTTCCTCACAAAAAAAACAAAACAAACTCTGTAACCATTAAACAGTAACTCCCCATTCCTCCCTCCTGTAACCCCTGGCAGCCAGCATTCTACTTTCTATCTTTATGAATTTGATCTCTCTAGGTACCTCATGTAAGTGGAATCATACACTATTTGTCGTTTTGTGTCTGGCTGATTTCACCTAGCGTACTGTCTTTAAGATTCATCCATGTTGTAGCATGTGTGAGAATTTCATTCTTTTTTAAGCCTGAATAGTATTGTACTGTATGTATATACATTTTTTTAATCCATTCATCCATCGATGGACACTTAGGTTGTTTCCATATCTTGGCTATTGTCAATAATGCTGCTATGAATATAGGTATACTAATATCTGTTTGAGACCCTGCCTTCATTTCTTTTGAGTATATACTCAGAAGTGGAATTGCTGGATCATATAGTAATTTTATGTTTAATATTTTGAGGAACCACTATACTGTTTTCCAGTTTGTGTTTTAACACACACAGATTTGTGTAACCACCACCAAAATCAGGATACAGAACAGTTGCATCACAAAAAGCTCCCTCGTGCTGCCCCTTAATAGTCAGTTTTTGTTAAGTGGAAAAGAGAACAGAGTTAAATCCTTAGAGAAGAAAGAGTAAAAGAGAAACAGGAGGATGTTTAGCTTTAGGAGTCCCTCCTTTCTGTAGATAGTATATGGTGGATTGTGGTGTACCTCCCAGAGCTACCTTGCCCAAAGTCCTGTCATCTTAGTGTGGCTAGCATCCAGTGACTGATCAGTGTGGTTATAACATCCTGGCTCCCTCGCTCCAACTCAGTCAACTCTGAAGGCCTTCCTAGCTCCAGACCTCCCCCTGGTTTCAGCTGAGGCCTTGTTGGAACTCTTTCACAGCTCAGCTTCTCTCTCTGCCCACTCTTGGTTTCTTTTCTTCAACAAGTGTTTTCCCAGGAGCACTCCCTAATAAACACCTTATATGTTAATCTCCATCTCAGAATCTGCTTCCCAGAGAACCCAATTTCTGGCACAGTGTTGTTAATTTCCAAAATCCATAAATACAAAGCAAAAAATGAGTTAAACTTGAAGAGTATTTTTATTTTACATATCAGAACCTGGGGAAATTATCACCATTTGGATAGTACAACTTTCCAGAATCAAGAGTAGAAATTGTTGAACATGCATGTCTTATGTTTTTCTTATCCTGATCAAAACAGATGTCTTCTAGTAGAAAAGAAAAGTGCAGGTTCACTTTTGGCCTAGAGCTCACAGAGCATGTACTATGTTTTTGGTTTCTGCAAAAGAGGCTATTTCTAATCTGATGCTATTCTTCTCTTTAATAGAACCACAGAATAAGAGAACTCCAGACTTGCCTGAAGAAGAATTTGTAAAGGAAGAGATCCAGGAGAATGAAGAAGCAGTCAAAAAGATGCTTGTAGAAGCCACTCAAGAGTTTGAGGAGATCGCGGTATGCTAACTAGATTTAACTCATATATATATATATATATTTTTTTAAAGACTTTATTTATTTATTTTCCCCCCAAAGCCCCAGTAGATAGTTGTATGTCATAGCTGCACATCCTTCTAGTTGCTGTATGTGGGACGCGGCCTCAGCATGGCC